AGCGAATTAAAATAAAGAAACGGGAGTTTTAATGGCTGTTTAGAATAAAAAGAAAAGGTTGACTCTTTAAAAAAGTCATAGTTGCAATAAAACAGAAATTATTACTGCAATGATACCAATAAGCCTTACATCGTTTTTTCGAAGAAATGGTAAAGACAATCATTTTACTCAGAGTTTATCTCTACCCTCGACATGAAGCGTATGAAGCGAATAATTGAAGCGAGACATTGCAAACTTCTCTTTTCAGTGTACTTGTGTACGAAGAGCGAACGGAATGAGTGCAAAAATTGGATATGATTATGAATATCTCAAATAAATATCTGGAGAAAGGAAATTGATAGCACCGATCGGATTACGGAATTTTGTTTTGGGATTAAAGAGAATATAGAGGAGACAAAAAAATTTGCAATATTTGCAAATTTATAAACAAATTCCAACTTTTACAGATCTAAAGAGGGGACAATCTCCCGATATCCCAGCGCCGAAAACAGCGGATTAACAATTTTGCAATAATTTACAATTTTATAAACAAATTCGAAATATGCGCTTGAACGGTCGAAAAGGATCCTCAAATTGTGCCTCAGATGGACATGTGAATATAACAGTTTAACAGAGTTAAAAATTGATTGCTAAGAGAGTATACTCCTTTAGCAATTATATAATTAAAACAATTATATAATTGTTTCAAAAATGCTAAATATTTACTGGTCTATTGACAGTAATTGTGGACGGAAAATCCCCGCTCAGAATGTTTTTTTCCCGGCTAATACGTAAACAATTAAGACCCCGCCCGTGGGGGACAGCGTCTTTCCCGCCCGTCGGGATTTTGCGCCAATCACATCAATAACATCGGCCCTAAGGTTTTATCTGCAAGCGATTGGTCAACGCGCCCCTCCCCCGTATCGAAGGGTGTGCAAGTTGGTGTGGACGTTTGGGAAGATGGAATTTCACCCGCCAGTTATTGCGGGGGGAACTTTACGAAGTACATAGTTCAGTATTATGTATGCACTACATCATATATTCTCATTTAATTACAAACAATTAATTTTAAAATGAATTAAAATTACAGCTAACTGCGCATGAATCGGAAACTCACAGAGTACTTATGTAATTAATTCACCTCTGATTACATGCTGAGGAATGAATCTAATGGATACCTATTTTTTATTCTAGTTGAAAGTTGGTAGGTGGTGGATAAGTTGTTGGGTTTAGATTTTGATTTATTTAGTCAAAAAAACAGTTAAAACTGTGTGACGTATGAGGGAGAAGATCATATGTGCACGTTTTATTCAGTTATAGAATCTCTTCCCATCATTTTAACTATAAATATCTGTCTAGTCTTGTCACCCTGATGATTGATGGGTATTTGGGTTACAGGACTTGAATTATTTCCTTTTGTGCAATTATTGGCTGAATATTTTTGAATTCAACAGAATTTTTTTTGTTGGCCGGGTCTTTGTACGATAGAAACTGTTTCTTGGTTTGTATCAGGTATTTAATTGGCTTTTCTGGTCTGCTATTGATTTGAACATTAATTTAATTTTCTTACCATTATTGTTTGTTGCAAACTGTTTGGTAAATTTGCCTTTTACCTATTTACTAAATTCGAAGATATTGTTAAAAAAATTGAGGAATTCTGTGGTTTTCTTCTTCCTGGGGCGAAGTAACATTGACGAACTTGAATCTTTTATCTTGATGTGATATTTTTCCTAGCTCGGCAAATCTGTTATACTTCGGTACTGAATATATTGGTTTGTTTTTGAGGGTTTTTTTGTTGTTTTCTTTTTTGAGGAAGGTCTGATTCTCCTGAATTATGGGATATTTTAGTAGTGTTATTATTTTGTAACGACTCGCTGTTCTTGTCGGCAATGTTGTCTACTTGGCCGCAAGTTGCGTCATTAGCTGAGCTGAGGTCAACAGTATCAAGGTTTCCTGTCCCGGGGAGGTGGTGCGAGCTGTTATCGGCACCTTGCTAAACATTTCAAAACTCTCCGTTCTGGATATTATAAGAGAATTGTACGTTTTGGCAGCTCGTGTGGGCACTGAATTCGTGATGATATTACTCATTACGTTGCTGGCGGATGTATCCATGGCACTCTCATTGCCGTAAAGAATTCTAATGGCTCCTGCAATGCTGTTACGTAGGTTTTAGCTGGCTGAGGGGGCTTACCGTTAATTATACTGATAAGTAACTGTTGATTTACGACGCACTGCATATTTTCTAATAGCACTTCACTTCACTGTTTCACAAGCACACGTTGAATGTTCGAAGTACTAAACTGACTAGACCGGAGCGAGCGACGTTGTCGCCTCGACTGTTCGGCGCGGAATGTCCGATTGATACAGTCGTTCTCCGATAACGACGAAAGGAGCATTGCGAAATTTGCGTCGTCAAATAAAAGAGCAGTCCTGATGTACAAACAATCAGCCTTGCCAAATAAAATAAGACATGATTGATGTTGCGCCATGAGATAGATAGGTAGAGTGATGCAATCCTATGAGCAAAATAAAATTACTTTTACTTCGTGTCACACATTATTTTTTAGATAGCCTTTCTGATATTCATTTTATTATAATTCAAGAATATAAATCTCTACGTTACATTTAAGTCAGTAGTAGCTGATGTGCTAAGACGAAAGTATTATGTTTTCGTTGTATTCTGATAGATTTATCTGAACACTTGAGGTTCGTCTAACTTTTAGCACTAGTACTAAAAATTACTTTCTCAGCACACTGCACATGCCCTTAAAGTAATCGCTTTTAAGAGTGCTTTTACCAGCGCAATGGAACAAACCCTGAGTTGGAGCCATGCGATACTTTGGTCAAATATACAAAGGTACAGGATAGGTCCATCGCATATTCTGAGTGCGCGTAGGTTATCTGCACTAGCTTTTAGAGGAGCGGTAGGTACGTCGAGATGCTCTGGTAGTCATTAGACGCTGAACAGAACTGGATTAACTATTATGAATAGTCTGCGCCGTTCTGTGGCACCACTACTCATGTGCTCAATGTTGAAACATCAATTTTTATAAAGATATATGTTTTTGTACAGCCCTAAAACATTATAAGGCAACAAGGTGACCAGTAGGGTATCAAGTGTAAAAGAAGATATTTGAACAAATTTTTGTTTTAAATAAAAGTAGTTTTGAACAGTGGTGGTTGAGAGTACGATACTTTGACATGTTTTCTCATTCTCATGATTATCATTTGTTCGGCAAGAGCTTCCTACCAACCACTGAGCTGTATTACGAAGTAAATATAATAACTACTACATGTATAAAAAATACTCAATACGTATTAATGCTGCAAAAATGCTGTTACGTCGTGAGGGGGTGGTTTGCAGACACATTGTCGTCTTAGTTGGGAGCAAATACCACATAGCGTGATCACATGATTGATTAGTATGCGGCACAAATAACGTGATTACACTCACTAATTCTGGTTTCCACCATCCCCTTTAGCGTAACGCCGGATATTGCGCATGCGCAAACGCTAAAAATGGGTTAATATCGTGTAAGATGAAGTGCTTCACATTGTGCTGCGGGCATGGATGTATTCTGGGATTAAAACAAATCTGAAATTAACAGGTGTTCAATTAGGACGAGTATATATAATCGAGAGCTTCAATTTCACTTCCTTGCACTTTCTTCGTAAGAAGAGAAATTTATGTATTCGTGCTCCGGAAAACGGAGGATTTTCGACACAAAAACCGAGGCGTGGTAACGAAAAGTAAAAGTCCTGTTGCTGCGTAGTAAATTAATTCCTCCAAACGGAAAAACGGGTGACGGCAAAAGGTATGTGTGTCTGTCTGTCTGTCTGTAGTCAACGCTAGAGCCTAAATAGTTCTGCCTATATTTTCCAAAATTAATATTTCCCGATCGATCTGAACGAACTCGTGGCTTTGAAAGTTTTACCCGGATACTTTGATTTCTGAGGATACTTAACATGAAGCCTCAAAAACATTTTCGAAATTTCCTTAAAAATAGCTCCAAATATTTTGATTAAACTTTGCCGTCGGATAGCGTAAAGGACGCTTCAGAGAATGATGCAGGTCCTGTGTTTCTTTGAAATCACAGAGTTTTTGAAAATGGCAAAAATGCAATTTTTGCGCGTCTTCCAACAACTATAATTTTGAAGATAGAAAATTTTGCCTAAATCTGTAAAAAAAATCAGCTCTTTAAAAAATATCATGTTCGGTTTTTTGAAAAAACTAGTAGGTTTTGCATACTAAATGTCTGATATTTATAAAATTCCTAAAATACTTTTTTTCTCAAACACTGCTCAATTTTTTTTCTTCGATCATTTTCCACGGATAGAAGATGGGACACTTAAAACAATGGTGCTGGTTTCATTTTCATTCAACCCTGAATTTTCGAAGTTTGAAATTTAGAAGTAATGCTAGATAGTGTGTACTGTTCTAGGTGCTTATGTAGTCTCTAGTTTGAAATTGAATAACCACGTCCAGCCGATCCCCTATCCTCTCTAGATTTGTTTCAATCGGAGAATAAGCACTGTAGATTCCGTCTGTATATCTTTTAATAGAGTGTAACCATCTGTAGGAGACCTGGGTGGCCGAAGTGGCTAAGAGCATCAGCTACCGACCCAGCGCTTCGATTGAAGGGTCGTGGGTTCGAATCCCACCTTGAGTATGGTTGTTGGTTCCTTGTCTTTCATTTGTGTGTTGTCACGGAGTATCCCAGATCAGAGGAGCCCGCAAATTTGTATGGTCGAATATGCGTTCCATCGGGACGTAAAGGGTAACCGAATGTGGGATACAGGCAAGCCCTTGGAAAGAAAGTTACTGTTTCTTTTTTTAGTAAGCCCTGAGGGAGGAATAAAAATATTCCGAAAATTCGTCAAACTGAATGTTTATATGTCTTAGTTCATTCCGACCAAATCCCTTGATCTCCATTTCCCAAACCGGAGACTACAGTGCTATTTTTTTAACTGTGCATCTGAGCCCCGCCTTCACATTGACCGTCCCAAGTTCTAGTTAATAGTCGCGATCATGCGACATCTGGCGGCACGCCGAGAAAGACACAAAATTGCAAAGTGACGACAGGGCTCATGCGCACCGTTCCAAAAACTCGCCTAGAGCGTGGCTGTGTGCGCAGTCGTCGGCGGACCAGCGGCTGGCGGCGAGCGCGCTGCAGGCGGAGGAGTTCCTGGCGTCGACGGCGTCGCAGCTCACCTACCACGGGCTGTGCGAGCTGGCACAGGCGGCGCGCGAGGGCGAAGTGGCCGTCTTCTTCCGCAACAACCACTTCTCCACGCTCTACAAGCACAAGGCCGCCCTCTACCTGCTCGTCACCGACCAGGTACGCAGGCGCCCGGGCGCGCGCGTGTGGTAAGCAGGGGCCATTTCTTGCCATCCGGTTCGGTCGGGACGGGAAACGTACGGACCTGATTGGACGGCGTTGGTTCAGGAAATCGACGCTTTCGTCATTTTTGTCTGTACAAATCAATCCAGTTTGTGGCCGTCGTTCCTTGTGTCGTCACTCGGAACATCCAACGTTCTACTGTTTTGCAACTAGCATTGCCTTGCGTTTCTTTTCGTAAGTGCTGTCATTTTGTAAAATCTGACAGTTCTTTTGGAGTTAAATATAAATTAAAAATATGGATTTACTTTATTGTTTTTAAAAATAAATTATTCTTGCTTTTTTCGTTTTAACAACTTACCATTTGAGGGAGAAACTGTACTATTCCTGCTGTGTTTTAAATTCTAATTTATTATTAATAAATGAGATAGAGTCAGTTCATACTTGCGGATACTTAATGATAAACGTACGCAGACAAAATTCTTATTATATTTTGTACGCATGTAGATGTGTTTTAGAACTGAAACACAGGGGTTCTTCACAGACCAATCGATTTTTGAATGTCATATAAGGCTATTAAACAGAGTATTTTCTTAATTTAAATTCGATAATATGATCTGCCTTTAAATTATTCCTTCGCCAGTATGTATTTTCTCAGTAGTCCTGCAGGAGGGGGGGGGGCTTTTCTCAAACGCATCCAACGCGCAACGGAGTACCTAAATAGCCAAGGACGTGCCGCCACAGAGAACAAAGAGGAATGGGCTTACGTGGATTTCTTCTAAACAACGTTTCTCGACATTTTTGTATGTCTCTAAGCTCTCTTCAATTCTTATAAATGTGTACTAAACCAAAATTCTTTTCAAGGATAGTAGACAGAACGTACACTAAGAACGTTCAATCCATGGCACGTTTGTCGCAAATATGGAATTGAAAGTTAGTTGCCAGCGAAGGAAAAGTTAGATTTAACGTGTCAGTATGATAAAGGCAAGACACGCGAAGAACTTTGAAAGTAATTGATGGCGGCAAATTGATCCCTGTCGCGTGTAATTGAAATCAAGGAAATGATTCGGTCGAAGTGTATTGAAGGTCAAAAGAAAATTTAAAGAAAGATTATAATAAGCAGAATAACCCGAGATGAAAATAGTTTCGTGACGTGCTTCAAGCAATGGTTACTATTAATGTCGGCCTCGCACATTCGGTTGAACTGGACCAAAACTCACGCATTGGACTGCACGAGCAATTCTGTTAAAATAATGCGTTCAAAATTTGTTGCGAGCTATATATCTTTAATATAAGATCTAAAATAACTAAATTTTGTCAACAACTGCAAGTTAAAAATGGCGCCATTCTTCCTTTGAATAATTATTTTCATGAAATTTTGGGGGAAATTGGAAAGGCGCACTAGCCTGAAGGCAATAGGAAGAAAATATAGTAAAGGAATATGTTTATATATACCAATGGGCTGTATGGGTTGCTAATTTCCTAATTTCTAATTTGCTATCGAAATAGTAAAATTCAAAATTGCGAATCTACACGGTGAATATATTTCTGAAAATATCATTCAATTTTGGCCAAAATAAGTATTCTAAGAGAATCTGAGGGTAATTGAATGGAATTTGATATCAGAATTGTAAAATTAAAAATGGTGGATTTATTATAATGGATATTCTATAATAAATAACTTTTTAATTTTACCTATACGTATTATATGATTGTTGAGATCGTGGATTGTGAATTTTATGTCGAAATTATAAAATGTTTTATGTCAGATATAGTACATTGACATTTTTTGAAAATGTCATTGAATGTCCCATAAATACTAATAAACATAATTTGTATATAATACATTTTTTTAAATTTTATTAGTAATTTGTTTAGAGGATTGTTCTATTACATATTAAAACAATACAGTAATTTACAACAAATACTAATAATATAGTAATACAATAACAAAATAATACAATTGCGTAAGATACAAAATTGAGACAACAGAACATCAAATATATACGAGACGACTTGCATCCAGTGAAGTTTGACTCCTTACAGATATGATAAAGTACTAATAATTCCATCATTAAAGTGGTCGTAGAATTTAGCTTGAACTGTTCATTTATAATAAATGCCCGTAAAATATTTTAGGCTTGTGCTCTTATTTTTAAATGGCTTAGAGAATCTACCACAATGATGTGTTTTCCTTACTCAATTGTTTGATTGATCTAAACTCTGAAGGATTTAAAATTCTGCACGTTTTTATTTTATCAATGTAATATTTTTCGGTGTCGTTTCGTCTTGCGTGTAGTGCACCGTGCTTTGATAAGGCATAGCGATCCGCGTGTGCGAAGGTGCCTTATTAACAACTCAAATTGCTGTGATTGTATTTGGTTGGAAATGAATTATGTGAGTGCCCTTATTGAACATCCAGTTTCTTCAGTGACTTATGAGGATAAGTTATGAGCAAAGGAACAAAGTAGGCCCTTTCCAGAATTAGAACTCGAAGTTTCAGGCAGCAGACGGGGCAAAAAGTTTAGAAGGCGTTTCCGAAAGAGAATATATGAAAATATTATTATTTATTTATCGTATGGGACTATTTGCGGGGAGACTGCCCTAAGGCAATTGTTCCGCACCCGAGTTTGTCGAGGCTTCCTTGGAAGCCTACCCTCGACGCGTATCCAGGGACCTTGCGGGCCCTAATGTCCCTAAATGTCCCTGGAATGTCTCTCTCATTTTCTCCACCAGATGTCGGTCAGAGTTAACTATATCCGAACTGTCTGATAGGGAGAACGTGAGATCTCGTTAGGGCGGGATTTAATTTTGCCAAGCTTACCGCCAGGGTCAGTGGGAAACATAGTTATGCAAATTATCGTTCTCCATGTTGTCGCGGCAGGAAGTATTATTTTTTCACATGATGAGGTATAAGAGTCCAAATCTATGGTTGATTTTCTCTTGAAAATAGATTGTTTTACATCAGAGCGAATAGTTCGTTAACAATTAGTCCCAAACATCGCTTCTTACTTTCTGTATTCAGAATTCAATTTGTATGTGGTTTAGGGTCGGGATCAATTAATTATGAAAACGTGTACCGAATTCACTTCTCCTCGTCGCAAGTCACACACAGTTTTTAACTGTTTAGAGGTAAAATATATAGAAAAAAATGGAAAAAAAACTTCTATATGCTGCTGTGATCAATTGGAAGCTCTTTTTCATGCGTACTTTTGGGTGAGGAAAGTGCGTGGTCAATGACAGGGGTGAATGATCTTGTGCACCTCTCAGCAAAAATTAAAACACACACACGAGCATTCGAAGTCACATTTGAATAATCAAATTCATTTAACTCTTCCTGGGACTGTACACGTACTGTCACAACTAGATTCTGTTTATTTGTCGAATATTCAGAAATTCAATGAAAATGTCATCAAGAATAGATATGTCCTTTCCAAAATCATAAATTGTATTAAGTTTTGCAGAGCGTTTGAACACGCAAAATTAAAATTTAATTGAAATAATATGAAGAGTCCAACTTCTTATTTCGCGCGGTGCAGAATCAATATTTTATATACTCTCGAGTTTCACTCCCCTGGTTATTCACTGCACTGATTTTGGTCAAAATTTGTACGTAATTTTATATATATATTCTAACATACCCACCTACCTAGTACAACTTACCACCTTCACGGTAGCAGGCATGAACCGTAAGCGGGTTATCAAGATTTTGCTCGTGAAGCGAGCTTTAAAAATCTAGGGAGCAGGATCTTCAGGGTGCGAGAAAGTTTGAACCCTTGACACAATAAAATCACACAGATTGCACACAAACGAGCGTATAATTTACCATAAACTTTTAGTGGCATAAGTAATGCAGAAAACCAAGAATATAGATCACACTTTTACAAAGAATAATCAAAACACAGATGGAAACCTTTACAACACACACTCATGTGAATGAACACATATTTACTTCAAAATTGATACTCTGACGTAATTACCTAACTACACTGGGAATTCCCTTGGAAAATTAATTATATCTAAATTTGTGCTATCCTAATAACATTTCACATGAAATCAAAACTTCAATTTACAATCTCTCGCTTCAAGATATTACATGTAAAGAACAAAATGTGTACAAGTGCACTACTCTAATTTACAATTTAACCGTGTCTGAAACTAGCGAAATAATAAATGTCCTAAGTAGAATGTTTTTAGGCAGGCAATAGCGCATCAAAAGTCTTCTAATATAATACTGTAATTGTTGGCCACCGTGTCCCAAATTCTTAACACTTTCCTATACTAGTTTTCCCTGCCGAGGTGAACTTGACTTATTTTCTGCGGATCCTAACTGTTTAACTCGTGGACTTTTGGCCTTGACGGTCGTGTGCTGGTCGCTGCGTTGACGCCGTTCGGTCGCGCTCTGCGTCGTAAGAGAGACGGGATTCGCCTCTGCCGTCTGCGTTGCCTTCTTGCGTCCTCTTCCGTTCTTCCTCCCAACAGTTCCGTCTTCCTTCACGTGCGCCTGGATCCTCGGCCTCTTCTTCTTCCTCGTCTGCTACCGGCGCCTCTGACTACGCCCACGTGCGAAAACGTCCTTGCACTTACCGAATACTCGTGCAAGTTCCTCGCTCGTTGCTACTTCTACTTTTACAAGCCAGAACTTTAATGTTTCCTTCACAACGGGTAACATTTACTTCCCGTGTTGTTAATTGAAGAAACACTACTTAATCTTGCACTATCTCGCGGACGACTAACTAGAACGTCTGTTCGACGCCGAATACTCCTACCAAGTAGTCGTTGCAACGGCAAACAATATCTAATGTTAACGAAAATGTTGACTCGTCGAACGGTGATCAAAAGAGCAGCTGCTTCTCGACGCGTGGTGACCAGAAAAGAAGAGGCTTCCGTTTGCGGGTTCGCGTATTTATGGCGCGGCGCCTGGGGAAATTTTCAGTGGAAGGGCGGCTACTTCCCCTCTTCTTAACCCTTCACAGGAAAACATAGCTCGCAAGTTGCATTCCTTAGTACGGGCAACGGTACCAGGCCGCGCGTTAAGTACCTCTGCCTTACACGCCTGTTATCCTCGCTGCTTCCGTAGTGTTTACACATGAGACGGTGGTGTTATGGGTTGCGCAATCCCATAACGACCACTATATATATATATATATATATATATATATATATATATATATATTGGAATTTCCCCCAGTGTACCGTGAATATGTCGAATCCGGTAAAACGTCTAATCTCCAGCATCGTTCCGACCGCAAAAATATCGTGCAAGAAGGGGGCCGTCGACAACTGAGGAAAATCATTTGTGACATAGTGAAATAGGAATATATTCAGATAACAATAATATAAGAAGTATATTGAAAAGTTACAAACAAGTTACAATAATTTGCTAAAATTTAAACCCTCCGACAACCTTTTCTTTCCCAGTACCCTGCTTTACCGCAGAAAAAAGCTACGCGTGATGCGAACTGTCGGACGTCCGTCACATGACTACACCGTCACATGGCCTGGCGCCAAAATTTAAACTGGTCGCCGTCCGGCGGACCGCGTGCCTATAGCACCCGAGATCGTCTGGCCCTTACCCTCCGGACATCTCGCCCACACTCCTACTCTCCTCGTACCTACTCGTCCTACGCCCTCCGGTGCAAACTGAATGAGAACGCAGGCGCAGATGGCGCCGCGATAAATAGTTGGGGCCTACAACCCCACCACAAAACTTGCCTAGGTACGCACGCCTGCTGTCGGCAAGCGAGGGCTCGCTAGCTAGCTTCCTAGTTTACAGCCTAAGGATATTTTTGGCTCTGTCACGCTGTCGGCGTCAGCTGCCAGAGCGCAAAACCCCGGAAGTACAGGCTCAAACCTCTCCTCCCCTGCAACGTGCTTTCACCGACCTAACGGTTCTGGCCCTCGTTAACGACGCCATACATTACATGTGGCAAAAGTGAAACTCTTCCGCAAATTGTTGAAGATTTCAACATCAACAAATGTCATCCTGCAAACCATTCAACGAGACATAATCGATGTGGGGTTTTGTAGACGAAGTCACTTTCATGTACCCTTGATGATTGTACGACACAAAGCGACACCTAGCCTGGGGCCGTCAACACCGACATTGGACTGTTGACGGTCCGGTCTGACGAGTCTCATTTCACATTGTTTCGAACGGATGCACGTGTCATATTCATGAGATTCTCTAGTATGACGACCTCATATTCATGAGAACCTCATATTCATAGACCCTGCATGTCAACAGGGGGCTGTTAAAGCTGTTGGATTCTCAGTGATGGTAAATGGGTGTACAGAGAAGGGGGAAGAATACCTGGAACGGGGAGGGGGCGTGAGCAAACTATAGGCCCTTCTCTATACAAAGTAATTTGTACACCGCACCGGGCCGTGAGGTACCCGGGGGGGGGGAGTGATGGCGCTGGTTAAGAAGGGAGGCGGAGGATGACAAAGTTACAAGAATTTCATTGCACATACGTTTATTTATATGAAATACTATTCTACGTTGATGGGATGATATGACAAATTAAGTATATTGTTTGTACAGATGAAATTAAATGAATGATACAAACGGTTGGATTACACGTTACTCATCACCGTGAAGGTGACGTCATGAAGGTTGGTCGAACTACCCTTCCATGGGCACACGGCGTTGCCGAATACCTTGTGCTGGGTGGCTACGGCATGCGTGGACCAGCGGTGCTCCTCTCCCGGGCGAAGCGGGAATGCAGGAGTCCCACACAGTTCGCTGGTTGCGGGGAGAGTATGTCCCGTAGCTTGACCATGCACCTGGCCCTAGGTGGGCACTGAGTGCGAGAGTGTGCATGCGGCATACACGGTCTCTCGCCAGCAGGTGACTAACGGAGTGAGTCGGGTCTGTCCGAACCGCACTAACGTGCCCGCCGATGGGAGGTTCACAAGTACTTTATACACGTGGCGAGGACAGCGGTTTTACGTGCGCGAAGCGCAAAGGATGAAAGTTGCTTGTAAGCGTAGAGACTGCTCAGCGAAGAGGCCCTGGGCAGGTGGTGTGGCCTGTGCCTCTCGCAGTGGTTCTCGCAAATCTGACTTGGCACAAGTGAATGTCGCGTTGCAAGCCAGAAGACTGCAGCCCTTAGGGAAAGCGGGAGGGGCGCCGTTCGGCGGAGGGCCCGGCGGCGCGGGTGCGGTGTGGGTGCGGCGGGCGCACCCTGCGGGAGCGGCCGCCTCCGGAGGGAGGGAGCGACCACCCGCCTTTTCGCGAGGGCTTCGTGTTGTGGACGGAACAATGGGTGCAGTTGGAGTCATATGGAACCTCTGATATGTCTATATACGACTCTGTCATGTGACACGTACTTAAGCATCTGATCATATCAGCATCCAGTCTCACCATTCTTTCATTCGAGTTTTATCATCAAACCTCAAAGAAAAGTGTGTTGCTAAATTTCTAATAAACATTTAAAAACTGCTTTTCAAGCCACAACATTGGTCTAAAAACAAACTAAATAACAATTTAACATAAATTACTAAAACATACACTCTCCACAAGCATACCCTCAGTGTGAACAAAATATTTCTCTCAAACTTGTTTGTAATGATCAGCTGATCTTGATTCTTGTTATAATTGTTTTTGTACGATCGATTCTTAAAACAATGATAAACAAAAGTCATTATACGTGTAATATTTCACTTTGTTATGTGACATAGGTGGATTTAATACGATATTCTTTAACTTTTTTCTACACATCACACACACCCTTTTTCAGCTGCAATTGACGTTGGCTCTTAGTAACATTAAGCATTAGATTGTTTTTCGTTTGTTAATGCATGCATTCTTAATGAAGTTACAAAATCGTATAACAACTGAAACTGCAATGCGTAACACAATATAATATGATCAAAAAACACTCAAAAGTAATAATGATGTATTTATCTTACAATAGTAAAAACTCAATGAAACTCCCAGCCGTTTCATGTAAATTAGTTCTGCTAACTCCAAAATAAGCTATACACTTTCTTTTAGCTATTGCAATTGAAACTCGTAATGTAACAAATCATTTCTCATGAAAAACGTAAGTCATAAGAATTATGTACTAAGTTGTAGCATATGTGACAGACACAAGCTAAAACGCAACTTGTGGTAAAGCGAAGTAAAGTGGTTCAACCCTTGCCAACAACTGTAGAGGAGAAATTAACTTAATATTGGCGACATTACAATAAGTATGTGGCATCTCTTTTCACATTTCCTAGGTATTTTTCGTCGTAATTTTTACATTTTTCTCCTTACTGGCTTGACAAAATCAGAGCCTTGTGCGTGAAATAATGTAGGTGGCAAAATTCAATTGTTAGTGTCAATTTGGCATGCTGATCACTGGCAAGGCACACGCGCACACAGGCTCATGTGCAGTTTTCTAGCATGGCTCGTGGTTTTCTGGTACCTTAAACATGTTTCAAAACACTGTCATTTTCACGGCCGCAGCTGCATTTAATGTTGATGTGTGGGTATGTAAAAATTCTTTTTTTTTTCTAAATACTCTAGCTTGGTAGTCTGATGCCGATAAACGTTGCAGTCTTTCAAAGGAAGACTTAATTTCCCAGTGGAATTACATTGCGATTGATTTTGTTGACGAAAATGCTTCGTTTTGAACGCTTTTTTTTTCTTGCATAGTTATCAATAAAAATGTGATCAAAAGTTTGACAGTGGATTAAGGAACTCATAGATGGTATGTATGGTCACATTATTTGCCATTTGTGACAATATTGTTTTTTTCTTCCGATGCGCGCATTTCGACCCATTTCAGCTCCCTTTTCTTGAAGGCCGCGGTTGTTGTTAGAGGTGTTCGGGGGCGGTCGCCTTGCCGCAGGGCTTCCTGCACGAGCCGTCCGTGGTGTGGGAGACGCTGAACAGCATCGACGGCGAGAGCGCCTTCGTGGACGGGGACTTCCAGCCGGCGAGCGTGGCCGGCGGCGGCGGGAGCGGTGGCGCGGGCGGGGCCGCCTTCCTGTCGGTGGACGAGGTGTCGGCGCGGCGCGACCAGATCGCCAGCGACGAGGCGCTGGCCCGGGCGTTCGCCGAGGAGGAGCGGCGGGAGGCGGCGCGCGCGCGCGAGGCGCTTCGGGCGGCGCAGGCCCACGCCCACCCGCACGCGCCCCAGCAGCGCTCGATCCGGCCGGACACGTGCCCCGGGCACGCCTTCGTGCCCCCGCCCGCGCCCGCGCCGGCCTTCGCCCTCCCCCGCGACTCGTCCGGCGCCTCGGGCTCCGCCCCCAGCTCCGCCGCCTCGTCGCGCGGCTCCGCCGCCTCCGCCCCCTATGGCCGCACGCCCAGCTCGGTGGGCGCGCCCGTGCCCCGCGGCCCGCGCGGCCCCGCCCGCGCCCAGTGAGCCGCCCGCCCTTTCTGCGCTCGACTCGCCTTCGGAAACGGCCCGACTTTGTCCGAGCCGCTGGGATATGTGTGTGGTTATGTTGTGAACCTCCCGACAGTTGTTTACGCAGCATTGCTAACGATCTATTGGTGGTCTTCGTACGCAGTAGTTCGTCTTGGGTACGAGAGAGGCGCCTACCAACTCGCGTCAGCTGTTATGGGAGCATTGTTAATCTTGATACACATGCTGGGTTTATCGCATGCTTGTGGAAATTGATTTCTTGGAAAAGTTTTGAATACATGCACACGATCGTAGAGAGATTTTCATTGCCCATTCATGTGGTATAAACTAGATTGCTCCAGCTAGCAATCAAACCGAACTTTAATTTCGGCACGTCTTTACGAGCGACCGCGCCGTGATAGACTCGTAGCGCCGCTAGGTTTCGTTCAACATGAGCGTTGAAGCAACTATGTATTTGCCAGAATATCTATCATTATCTTACATGACAGGAATTGTAATACATAGCAGAGACTTTTCTCAATAGAAAGTGATGAAGAAACAATAACAACAGATTAGTGCATTTATTTACAAATATTTATTAGTAAACAATTTTTACTACAGTTTAATCCTCTGATCACAACTATTCATAACAGTAACTGTAGTTTGTAAAGTTACCCAGCATTATCGTTCCTCATTTAAAAATTAATGCTATAATTTCTTGTTCATTGCAGAGAATTAAATAATAATTTACTTGTCATTAACTTCTTACATTAGCTGGCTGTAATATGAGTGTCTCAATCAAAAGACTTTTAACTGCAATGTAATATCACTCAAATTCATTGGAGGTCTTGCATTCTATTCTTTACTAGAACTCTTAACGTCATTAATTTATTTCAATGTTGTGTTGTTTGATAATGCATATAGTGTGATAAATTAATCCATAACTCCATTCCATTGCTTTATGCAGCTAAACTCAGATGGAAAAGTTAACTATCACATTTTATTTCTGAAACACGTTTTTGCAGTTTAAGTGCCAGTCTTTAGCCAATATTTAAAAGTGTACTAACGTATTTCAAAATGAGATGAACTCAAGAAAAAGTGTATTCAATGAAATATTTTTATACTAAATTAGTTATGTCCACTCCTCAAAATGCCTATCATATTATTGTTTTAATATTTATTTACAATAGAGGTACTTATATTTTTATAATATAAAACTATTGTAGTATTTTATGATGTGGAATTATTTTCTATTTTTCACTCACTATTACTGATTGGATTTTCACTTATTCTAAAATTCAATGTACTTTATTTTTTATGACATGTCAACTTGGATAGAAAAATAAAATTGAAATAAGAAATTTTACATAAGGTAAGTTTTAGTCTAATACAACCTTTCTCTCGTGAGATAATACATAGTAGGGAAATGGAGTGTTTTTATAGCGGTAACATGGTTCTTTAGATTCATTACCTCTGAAGGTTATACAAATTTCAATTTAAAAGTGAGTTTAGCATTTTTGTCTTAATAAAATATTCTTTACACCGGCTCAGTCAAACTGCAAAATGCAAGTATAATCGAACATGTTTGTTAGATATGTCGTTATTGGGAAGTGGAGAAAAGTAGTAAATATGAAGGATGCTGATGGGAGCCTGGCATGAGATTCACATTTCATTCACTTATGTAACAGTTAGAGTACTATGTATAATTACTAGAAGAAGTATATTTTCCCACAGCTTGTGTCAAAAGGTCTGTTAATTTCTTGTAGAAGAGTTGGAGAATTCTCCTCGAGCAGGGACGCAGTCGGTAATTATTGCATGGAAATTATTATAGATGGACCGAGCGAAATATAAAGGGAAACACATTACACTTGGAAGCTCAGGAGGCAAGAGTAGTTGCTATCGCGGGAGATCCGAGCAAATGACTTTCAATTTAATTTCAAACTTGCCCATTTTTTTTATATATATAATATATCTTTATTAGTGAACGAATATACATAGTTCAGTATTATTTGCCCAATAGAGACTGTATCTGATTAGCAGGCTTCCCAGGATGATGATAAATACTTTGAAGAGCATGTTACTTTGCATGAGCAGAATGGGAACTGCCATTAACACTGAAACAGCACCATCTCCTGACCTCAAATAACGAGTTCTGGATGAACCATGTTCTGTTCAATGAACCTCTAGTTAACAACAGAAGCGAACGGCCATTGTAGGGCACGGTTCTCGGAACCATTTTTCCGGGAGTTTGTCCCGTGTGTTTATGCAAGTTTTGGAAGAAGCCAATCACCAGACCAACACCGAACTTACATATAACTGACGGCTTCGAAGCAGAAACAGTTCTTGTCCTTCAATGTATCACTGTAAAGAATCGTTATACAAATTGCAGATTAGAGCCAAACATTCCTGAAAACATTCAAAATGATTTAGTGTATCAGCTTGAGCTTCATTTCAATCGATATTTAATTAATTTTTTTTAAATAAATGTTCACGAGAACTGTATAGAACGAAAATGTCTACTTTATTGTATTATTTATTTATATTACATTATTTCTTTATGCCAATGGTAGTTGAAACCCCTACTTACTTGTTTTCTCCTCTTGTCTTTTACGTCATCTGTCTATTGTATTGCGTAATTATTAATATCACCTTTTCTGTTTGTGTTACCGTGTACAGATGTCAGTTCTCAGAATGCTCGCATTAAATATCCATTCCCACAAAATATTAATATTGTTTTAAAATGAAGAAAGCGCAGTCACGTTACATCCAGCGCACCTTCCCACAGCCATATTCCAAGAACAGTAGAGCGTGGTCAGTGGCCGCCTGACCTGCGTATAGCCGTCCCGCCTTGCATCTCTCCGTCTCTCCCCGCCACTCCTCCATTGTCCAACCCGCCCCACGCCGCGCTGGGGTCGCAAGTCACACGGCCAGGCGACAAAAAGCGTCGCTTCTCTTTCTCGGGCGAAGGAGGTCATTAACCGAATTTATGTCTGGACTACGACTTGGATGCACCCCCGTTCGCCCGTGTTGGAGGTGCGGAGTCCATTGTAAAAGAGGGACAATAGTAGAGGCCTATTGTTAGTGGAAGACTGCCCCACGCCATTACTCCCGTTTCCTGTGTGAGAGCCCCTGCATAAAAAATGCCATAAATGCAGTGTAATGGGTGGTGAGTGACATTTTGTGTAAGACCGTGTCGAACTACGAACAGAAATGTTATTTTAGGTACACAACCAGTGGTTTGTTAGACAATAAAAGTAATGAGTGCAGTCACATACTGTGCCCTCATATAAGAACCTACATTTTAATATTTGCGCGACTGAAAGTTAATGCTTCTTTGTCACATTTCACTTTCGACAACCTTTTTTTCAACTTTCAAGGAATACTTTGCATAGTTCTCGTGAAACATAAAAATAGAAGTACAGTACAAAACGTGAGCAATTCGTAATTGGGTTTTTCGGGCGAACAAAGCTTCAATGCTTACTTCACCTATATACTTAGAGAATAAATATAATTATTGTATCCAAATTCGAAGGAAACTTAAATTTCTCCCGTAAGCGAACCATAGCCTGATGAATTGATACATTTGAGGTGATTCTCCATCCGGCAAACAATTACATGAAAATAATATGTCTTTGTAGTGTAAGCTTGTCCGAAAATGGTGTTTATGTAAGTTAAATTGTAATATTATGCCAATGTTGTTTAGAATTTTAGGGGCACTCTAAGGGCTTTGCTTGTATCGACAAAACAGTATACCAAAGTAAATCATAAGGATCGTATTCGACTTAAAAAAAAATACTATCGCTAAAGCTGATGTACTGGCACATCTGAGACAAAATATAATTTGCTTTCTTCACAACTGTTGGGTACATTCGTATCCCAATTATGAAGAAAACCTCTGACACCAATTAATTTCAACTATTCAAAAGTTTCCTCTGAATTGATTACACTTTTAATATCCTTTTATTTTCCCGTATACGTACGTATAGGCAAAATAATTAGTACAGGAAAAGTCATGTACTGACGGAAATACATTCCGGAGGGGGTATTGGGGTCCCCAGACACCGAAAAAGTGTTGTTTTTCAAAACGTCCGTCCACCCACCCATCCGTCCGTCCGTCTGTCTGGTGTCTGAACACTATTAGCGCCTAAACCATGTGTATACTTTTTCCCAAATTAAAAAAAAAGTGTCGATCTGCCTAGAATCGAATCTTTGATATTTTGAAAAAATCTTTAAAATTTGGGGGTGTTTTACATGAAGCCCCCTAGGCATTTTCAAAATTTTCTCAAAAATGGCTTCAAGTTTTTTTTAACTTTCTTGTAAGAATAGAGTAACATAGATTTACAAGATAGATGTATAAAGGTGGCATTGGTCCGATTTTCACAGTTAATACTGAACTTTCAAAAATTTCCAAAGTATTAATATTTTTCGGTGTCTTCCTACAACTACAAAATTGAAGACTGGGATTTGTCCTTCGAATAAAATTAGTTCTGCATAGTAATTTCTTTAATTAAGGTCACGTACATTGCTTTGAAAATTTTGATAGTTTAGTGGGAATACTGCTAAATGTACTCTGAGATGACATAAACGCCATATTGCCCTATTAGTTTTTTTTGTTGTTGTTTTTTTTTTTTCAGAAAATACAAAAATGTATT